ACGAGCGGGATGGTGTTGAAGAGTGGTTCCAGATAGAAGAGGCAATAATTCTATGTAACTATTAAATTTACGCATTGCGCGACAACCCTTTCCAATGCCACGAGCTGCGATCACTCTTTTTCGACGCCGGAAAAATGCCAGTCGCGGAGTTGCATTTTGGAGTCATGCACTTATAGCAAAGATGACAACCCCCCCCCCCCCCCAGCCATGGCGGATGTTCGGATTTTCTGCCAATATTACTTATTTGGTGAAACATTATGAATTCTATACCACGGTTGCCAAGACAAATTAGACGACTAGAACGACCCATGTTGCAACCCATTCTTCTTCCCATATTTCTTTCCGGCTAGGTGTCGCATACGGCTTATTTACCACTTCTGTGTCACTGAGAATGTTCTAGAACCGTACTGTGTCTGGGTGGAATATTCTAGGTTTTGTTTAGAAACTGATTGAATAGGTAATAGAACACTGTAGGAGGCAATAGAAGGTAATGGAACATTCTAGAAATTTATAGTAAATTCCAGACTCATTATGTATGCTGATGTAATGGTCTATTTATAGACAGTGTGGGTATATATAGGGGAGTTGTTCAGCACTGAGATCAGATCGGAGATCTCGTTGAATTGTATTGGAGTTTCTAGTTATTGGAGTAGTGGAGTTTTACCGCGTTATTGTACTTGATGTTTGCAGAGTATAATAATACCAGTACCAGTTGAAACCTCATCTGTTGGCTCCGTGTTCGTATTTTATCATCGCCGCCAGGGACGTCTTTCTGTTACTGTTGCCATTTTGGTATTTGAACCATCACACCTGTACTATACCAATTACGGTAATATTACGTTGCGTGTGACACTAGGACACCGAAAATATCTGCCACCACACACTGCCATTTTGTAGTTAATCTCCATACACTTTTACTACACGTATTCATAATTTACATAATAAGAGTTACTAAGGTTTTACTCGTTTCATCAAGCTGATCGTCCTGTCGATCGCCAGGCGAAGAAATATAAACAAAGAAAAACACTTCGTGGTATTGACGACTAACTCGTTCTACTTGTAACCTCTATGTTGATAAATTAACTCGAGAAACTAATCTTAGTTAGACGTATATTTATTGGCACACAACTGATGGTGAGCATGCCGTTCAAGTATCCCATAATGCTATAGTTATCACTATGGTAACATATCGAGTGATATCATTGGTTATACATATACATATAGAATAATATAGGATATTACACTAGTCCACTTCGTTTGTGTTACGGGAAGTGAAAATCTGCTTTTCACTAGCCAGAATCTACAAACATTGCGTAAGTTTTCGCCGGGTTCGAAAATAGCACACCACATTGGCAGTGTGTGGGCATCTTGAAAGAAGCGCCACTGTGACGCATCGACCAATCAACGACAATCATAAGATCCCGTGGTGTCAGAGATATTTTCGTAGAAATAGAACTCTGCTTGAGAGTACAGCCCTAAGGCATGAAGAGTATGAGTTTCCTTGAACTGCCAATAAATTATGGCTTATTTTTGTGAAGGAGACTTTATGTTAGTGTAGTAGTAATGATATTACTATTGGATTGGAATCACACCTGTCCACTAAAGCAGTATCTGGTGTACCTTGCACCTACCACCAGCGATCTCCATAGCAACATTAAAATAGATAATCCTATTAAATACTACTGAATTCATAAGAACATGGCAATATGGAACATTCTTGAGAATTGGCGACCTATCAGTCTTTTTAACGTAGATTATAAAATGATCTCTTTTGTACGAGAAGCGAGACTACAGTCAGCTATGAGTAGAAATATAAACGAAGACCAAACAGATTATATAAAAAAAACGATTTATCGGACACAGGAAGTAATTGGTAAACAATATGGCTAAGTCGAACTATTAAACTTAGTAGTACTTCAGAAGTAAAATTGTACAGCTTTATGTATAAAAATCTCCATGATATCCTACCTCATGGATTAAATTTATACAAGTGCAATGTTCACAAGTCAACAAGAGTAGTGAAAATTTCAATACAGTTAACTTGTACCAAATTTTCTTTTCTGGGCTCAAATTGAGATTGTAACAAAAAGCAAAAACTGTGAAATGTTTTCAGTAATGTAAACACGTATGTGACAAAATAAAATATATATAAATCAAATCATGGCAATATACCTTAATTCAGAAATGAATTCAGTTAAATTGGTAGTGACCTTATACGACACTAACACTTCAGGCCTGATGCCACTGTTACCATTAATATTAAATTTAGATACAATTACTGATAAATGCATAGCACAAGCAAAACATCTACTTTCATCACCAAGTGGACTATGAGAGGCCTACGTGTATTGACACATAGTGATATTCTTCTATTGTGATGGGGAAAATCACTTTGCTTGACGCATCATGGAGGGGCATTCAGAACTTTAATTTAATTATGTCTTCTCAAAATATACACATGCACGGCAGAGAATAACCTCTCCCCTTGATTGACAGCCTTAAGTGGGACATTAGACTGGGAGTAGTTATGTCACGTGAGTTGCTACACTACCTAATTAGTCGCTTACTGTATAATATCTATTTCCTGCATATTCATCCAGCAACATATAGAACTTTGTATGTGTTTGTTTTAGATGTAGACGCTGTTGAAGAACCCTTATTCGCTAAACCTCACTATGACAACACAACAGTGGTATTCAATTTTAAGTCACTATGTCAGTAAGCTAGGTGTCTGGGAAGCTTCAGCTACATCAGTCGGCATAAGTGAGGCAAGTTAGGTCTAGCTTTTATTACCGATTTTTTTCTAGCCGTCTCTGTCCATCTTTAGTCAATCCTGAAGTTTGTGACTTGGTAGTGACCGTACTGCCATCAATCCTTTTCTCTTTACGGTGTCTCGTTACAAGCCTCGCCCATGGATGTCTGAGAATGTTTGGTGTAGCTATGATGTCTTTTACAATAACTTGTAATTGTCTTGTGCACTTTTAACTAGTTTTTATTTGTCCACGAAAAAAGTACAAGAGACAGCTATTTTGAGCGTCTGTGTGTACAAGAGGTGATGGGATTGGTGTAATTATGTTCTGTTTGACTGTCTTTTTGTCTGTGTAAGCAAAATCTCCTAGCGAAATTTTATCAAGATACATAGGTATGTTAGGATTTCGCACAGAAATGATTAGTTTCGGAAATATGTCCACGCATATTAAGTAGCTAATTTGCATATTATTTAATTATTTCTTTTCAGTGTATTTTTCAGCAAATGCAATAATATGATTAGATTTAGACAAATGTTGTAGTATCTAGAATTATAGTTTGTTTGTTTTTAAATCTAATTTTCAGGTCGAAATCATGACAAGCGTTTGTTTAGAAAGTGTGTTGTAACAACGGTGAATTTGAAGCAAATGTCCTATCATCATTGTTGTACAATTATGGTATGACGCAGTATACATTCATTGTTTCGTGGAGTGCTGTTATCGATTTAAATATAGCATGAACGACGTGTGACATCTATTTAAAATCGTTAGAGCACAAAATGAGTTAAATAGTCACTAAATCTGTTTAGGCGAACAATTGTATAGTGTAATGCTTAGAACATTACATATACTATACTAATATTAAAGCGCATGGGTCGTCACCTGCGCATGCGCGGGAATTGAGTCCCAAGCGACGATACCAATGCACGCCAAACAACGACACACTATGACCGTTTGCAGCATGCGCAGGTTAACATATGCACATTTCATATTCATAGCTTCATATTATTAGAATCTTAGTAAATAAATATTGTCATGGAAATTGCCCTTAATTCAGTAGTAAAATAATAACCCACAAGTTCCTATTTGGGGAGTACAAACAAGCAATTTATTGAAGCCCAGACACTTTGCAATCTAAACACCACATGCCGATGCTAATACATGTTTCATTATTAATATTTCACAATTAAAATGGCATAATCAGTAAAATCGTGATTCGGTTGACAAAAATATTACAGTATCGGTAAAATTGTCATTGCAAATTACATTACATTATCAAATCATTACATTATCGGTTATTACAATATCGGTCAAAATTACATTATTACAAATTGCTGTGTATTTCGTTCGGCAAAAGCGTCAGATCAAAAAGCACCGCTAAGAATCTTCAAGAGGATATTGTACAGCAAACTGATTGCGGTTTGCGTTATCAGTAACACCTTCGCCTTCGCCTTATAATAAATGGCTTACGTAAGGTATCAGTGTGATGATTAGTGCAATGAACTCCAGTTGCCAGTGACAAAATTTGAATATTATTGTAAAACATGAAAAACTAACTAAATTAGTTTTTAATTGTCCACAATCTTCAAATTAGTTGGTAAGCAAATTAATATTGTGAATAAATACTATATTTCGGAGTGTTTTACAGGGAATTGATCATTCAGTGGCATGCAAGATTTCGGCAAAGAGTGATTCAAAGGCAATATGATGAATTATCTTCAAAACTATATTTTCAGCAATTCTTGGGATCATTGCTATCATTACGTCTGGTACCACGTAGCTATGTGACAGAGATTTACATGACTTCACATTTATTTTCTGGTAACGGTGGTAGTGCTTCGAATGCAGACAAAGCAGCTTCATCAAAAACATTCTTCACACCTTCCTGAAAATGGAGAGTAATTGACATTAACATATTGTACGCAATAAGGAATAGTTTTGACTACAGAAACAACAAACCCATGATTGGTAAACCTCAGTTCAAACAAATCCAGGCAATTTTGTTATGCAGTCCAAACGCGGAATGTTTTTCCAATATGACGGGAAGATGGTCACACAGCCCTGTCACGTAGTCCAACCACGGGTGTATTCCGTTACGTAAGTAAGATGATCAAACGGTCATACAATTCGAAATATGTTTTTGTTATGATAACAAATAATATTTGTGATAGGAAGATGGTCATTCACCCCTGTCACGTAGTTCCAAACATAAATTTTGTTTTTTGTCAGTAGCTGTGAACACAGCAGCACAGGGCGTGATTGACGAGCCATAAATTGTCATGAAAATGACAGGATAATGTCCATTGTCGCAATGTGTCATGGGTTTTGTCTATAGAATTACAAAAATTTTATTTATATTTTTGTCTATAGAATGACAACAATTGTATTTATATTTTTGTCTATAGAATGACAAAAATTTTATTTATATTTTTGTCTATAGAATGACAACAATTGTATTTATATTTTTGTCTATAGAAGTGACAAAAATTGTATTTATATTTTTTCTATAGAATGACAACAA